CGGAGAGGGTGGATTTGACCTGGTCCTGAATGGTGCAACACTCCCTCTTAGGGATAAGGTCCGCAGCTTAGGTGTACTCCTCGACCCGGAGCTTTCGTTGGAAGCTCAGGTGACAGCGGTAGCGAGGAACGCCTTCCTTCAGCTTCGGCTGATTAATCAGCTGCGCCCCTACCTGGAATACGACTGCCTGGCGACGGTGACACACGCGCTGGTGACTTCCCGCCTAGACTTCTGTAACGCGCTTTACGTGGGGCTTCCCCTGAAGACAGTCCGAACACTTCAATTGGTGCAAAATAGAGCTGCCAGGTTGCTGACGGGGACGGGGCGTTATGCTCACATGACTCCAGTCCTCCATCAGCTTCACTGGCTTCCCATTGAAGCCCGGGCCCAATTCAAGGTGTTGATTATGACCTACAAAGCCCTAAACGGCTTGGGTCCTGGCTACTGAACGAGCGCTTACGTCCGTATATGCCCGACCGCCCTTTGAGATCTGCGGGAGAGTCCCTTCTCCGGGAACCCTCCATGAAAGAAATTAGGAGAGTAAGTACCCGGAGGAGGGCTTTCTCTGCGGTGGCGCCCAACCTATGGAATTCACTCCCCAAAGAGGTCCGCCTGGCACCGTCGTTACTGGTTTTTCGGCGCCAGGTAAAGACCTTTTTATTTAAACATCATTTCAATTGTTAAAACATATGATCTGGCCTGGGCAACTTCTTCTTCCTTCTCTTTCTCCTCCCATATTTTTATTTTATACTGATAATTTTAATTTTGTATTTGTAAATCAATGTATTTTTTGTATTGTTATATTTAATGGTAATTTATTATGTACTATTGTATTTCAATGTATTTTATCATGTTGTAAGCCGCCCCGAGGTTTCGGCAAGGGGCGGCATAGAAATGTTATAATAATAATAATAATAATAATAATAATAATAATAATAATAAGCCCCTTTTTCCTAGCCACAGTGATGCTAGAACAAACACCAAGGTAGCATGTTACCCACTGAAGGATAATAATGGTCTTTAGACTGTTTTATCCATCACAAGCAATCGGTATAGAAAAAGCATTTTTCCCTCACTGATTGCAAGTAGATGCCGTCTTCTCAGGAGACATATTCTGGGCAGAGATGACGTGGCCATTTGTTCTTAAATAGCTATTTCAGTATTCGAGAGTAACATCATATAAATAAATAGAACATAAACAATAGGAAACCTCTCGTTGCCACTTTCCCCTCCCCTTTTCATATTTTGTGTGTAATTTCCATCAGATGCTGTAGTCATATGAAACACCTTTTCACTGTACAGGGAACACTTTACCATTAAAAACCTTACGCCACGTATTAGTTGCAGGTTTGCTCCGTTTGGACACTGCCGTGCCTTCCCAAGTAATGGTTCCTGTGGTGCCTGACTTCATTTTTCCCATTGCACTGCAGCTAACCAAGATATAAACAGTCATCTTGAGGGACCTAACCGCATTGCTTCTGGCTTGTTCCTTATGAACTCACCCATTATTTTAAGTGGTAATTTGATATTGTTTTTTATTAAGAGTACAATCCTATACACATTTATGCAGGAAAAAAAGGCATGCTGGGGCATGCTGGCAGCTTGTAGACCTTTGTTTTGACTAAACATGCATAGGATTATGCTTTAAGTGGAGTTACTTGCTAAACTGGTTAGGAGAGTGATGAAGCCCTCCAAAGAAGCCATCAGTTTAATACTACATATCACATTGGTATTGAAGGCTGGATGTTTTATTCCGGCCTTTGAAGTAAGGAGCCTATCTTTCCTAGCTTTTGCTGCTGGCTAAACCGTTTGTTGGGTGTGCTACTCACAAAGAGAAAAACCAGACACAGGCCCAAATTGCAGCTGCCTGGGTCTGTGCATATTACAGAACCTGGTGTGGGCTGAATGGCAGGCTTTATGCATCACTAGCTGTCCCAGTGTAAGAAAGCAATAATTAACGCCACTCATTGTTAAGTTTCAATTGGTTCCTTTAAGGCACAGCTGTAGACCTTCAGGCCAAGGAGCCAAATTCAGCCTTCCCACATTCCTCAGAGGGCAACACTGCTGTTCCCTCAACCATCATTGTTTGATGATGTGCTTTCCTGCAGTTATTTCTCCATTCTAAAAGGATAAAACCATAGGGTTGCAAGGGGACCTAGGCCATGCTTCTGCTCAAGCTGCTATTGGCATTTAAACCCTTAAGCTAAAATATTTTGACATTTTTGCAGAAGCGTTTTTACCCTTTTTACTCATTCCCCTTGCCTTCAGCCATGTCTACCACTGAAATGTAACCCCTAAGAGCTTTTCTGAAATGGAACGAAAGGCATTAAAGGTTGAAAGAACCCCAGTATAAAGAACACTTTTGAATGGGCCAGTATAAAGAACACTTTTGAAATAATCCAGCTTCTTCCTTCTCCTTCTCCCTTTTCAAGCAGTGACACCTCATAAAAACACAAGCGGAGCCCTGCTGGATCAGATCAAAAGCCCATCTACCCAGCATATTCTTCCCACAATGGCCAGCCAAATGCCCCAGTGGGAACCACAAGCAGGACAGGAGTGCAGGAGCATCCTCTTGTGCATGCTTCCCCCAGCTGGTAGTGAGAGCCCTCTAATACTGAAGGCTGCACATGGCCAGAGTGATCAATAGTCATTGATGGCTTTCCCCCCCTTCGTAAAACCTCTTTTAAAGCTACCCAGTTTGGTTGCCATTAACATACCTTGTGTTTTGTGTCACTGGGAGTACAAAAAGAAGATGCTACTTCAGTAGCAGCAACACCCCTGCAGTACAAAAAGATGGGCTATTTCCACTTAGGCTTTTGAAAGGAAGATTAACTGGTGCTCCTTGCCTACTGCAACCTATTGCAGGGCTTATTTAAAACACCTTATTTTTACATAACAGTAAGAACACAATGAGTTCCACTTGAAATTTTCACTCATCGCCTTTCACTCATCGTCAAGGATCTAGAAGCCCAACTGGTTGGCCAGTTTTGCATGGTATCTCTTAAGAAATACAGCAGTTTACTTCTAGGAAATAGGACACGAGGTACATAGAGGATTAAGATGGCCTACTACTGCTGATGTTTCACATGAAGAACCTCTTCTTCATCAAATTGCACAGGGCAGCTTGTAATGAGTAGCTCAGCTCTTCACCTCTTATATGCCCTTGTGTCACTTGGGCTCCCCACCATTAAAGACTAAGGGGACCATCATTTTTAGGGTCTATTTGCAATGCTGCTGTAGCAGAGGTATCAACTTGTCAATATGCAGGAGGGCTCCTACCACATATCCTACAAATATCTATCATGCTCATGGTGCAAAGGCTTGTGTTTGCAGCAAACTTGGAACAGACTGAGGCCTTACAACATGAAGTTGTAACTGGCCATGGTTCTCTCATGCCCCTGCACTGGCTATGTTGGCAAATCCATACCTCCACTTGCAAGTAAGCATTGTCATGCAAAGCGTAAACAAGCCCTTGGATTCCACCATATTATGCTTGATTCATGCTTTTTCCAGCTTGCAACATTCCACATTCCTACATGAAGCTGGAACCTGATTTGCTAACTCAGGTAGAAAGAAGGAAATTCTTAAACAATTCTTATCATGTATGCATGACAGAACATAAAATGCTGGACTTTGTATATTCAGCCTTATGCACAGGCAGCGATTACCTAACAAGCCCTTTAATAATTACCTTGCATGTCTGTGCAATTTAAAATGCTAATGGACTTTGTAACACTTTTTCAGTTTTTCTCCCTAGTTCCAGCACGTCCATATGAAAAAGCCAGCTGAAGTAGTAAGCAGAAGGTGATTCTCTTCATGGCATCCTGTAAATAAGAAGGCTTTTTCCTGACAGGTCAAATTAAGTTATCCATTTCACTGACCATCAAGGGAAATTTTACCATTTAGCAAGAAACAGCCACTGGTGCAGAAAGTTGGCCCACCCCTCCTGACCTGTAGCACATGTCTCTGCACTGGTGGCCCTTTTCACACTGAAGCATTTGCACAGAACCAGAAGGTTAACTAAAAACAGACAGATGTCAGTGGAGTAAAGCACCCACAGGACAGGCCACCAGCTCAACAGGAGCTTGGTCAGGGCAGACCAACCTTGCCCAACCTGGTGTCTTCCAGTTGGTTTGGATTTTAACTCCTGCCAGCCCCAGTCAGCATGGCCAACAATCATGAATGCTGGGAAATGAAGTCCCGAATATCTGGAGGGCACCAGCCTGGAACAGGCATTGCTTTATTACTAACTCCAGCACTGAGAAAGCTAGCAAGAAGGCATCCATTACCCTCATAAACCCCCTAACTAGCAATGGACTTTCCCCCCTTTTGTAGCAAAAACAACACCTGGCAGTTTTGTCCCTTGACCTAATTTGCATTTCATTTTTCAAATCAACCTCTGTTTCCACTGTGATCCCACTAGGCCACACTAGCATTTTTAATTCATCTGAACAATTCAAGATGAAACCCAAACAGTTCAACATGCAAAGGGACACAGAAAGAGGCCATCTAAACAGTTTTAGAAGGGAATGTGGTAACACTGAGCACAAGCTCTATGAGGAACACACCTGGAGGGCCAGGTAAAGTTTTATCAGAGCGAAGATGCTGCATGCTCTCGTTTCACTAAAGCATCGAGAAAATGCTCAAGAACTTTTTCAGCATCTTACTTTGAGAGCCATCATCAAGCCAAAGGCAGTGGCCCCTTTGCACCAGGTGGTTCTGAGCCCAGCAAAAGCTTGGTTGCCAAGGAGCCTGGATCTGGAACAGCCCAAGGAGCTGCCTCCGAGCTGGAGGAAAAAGAGGCATGACAACAGCCAAGAATAGAGCAAGCCTTGTTTGCCCACTGGGTGAGCAGAAAGAAAGGCTAAAGCCAACACACAGGAACATCTACAGGCAGAATATCTTATATGACAGCTGACAAAGACCTGCATTACCATCAAACAAGGCTTCTCTGTTCTGCCCAGTCTTGACCTGGCATGTGCACACACAAACAGACCACAATCTGTACAAATTATTTATTGACCCTTGAACAGTTTTGCAACACTCAAAAAACTAGATAGCTTATGATTTAGTGGGCAGGAGCAATCTCTTACCCTAACATATGGACTACATTCCTTGGAAGCTTGTTGCATTGCTCTCCCCACGTCTCCTCCACATCCTTTCTTGAACAAGAGCTAATTCAAACCGTCTGACAAAACAAATCACCCACATTCAGCCAACCTGTAACAGCTGGGGTCCCCAAGGTTAAAACAAAAACAAAAAAAAGAGAGACATTTAAATAGTTGTGTTGCTGTTGAAGAATTCCCTTAAGTCCCCCAAAAGTCTTCTCACTAATTCCAAACATCAAGAACCACCATCGTTGTCCCTCTTCAGAACTTCCAATCCAAGCAAGAATGAACAACCCACTTCATCTCCTCTTGCTGAGGGACAAGTCTGAGGAGAGGAGAAATAAAAGCATCAAGTACATTCTGTGTACTTGATCCTTAGAACACAAATGTGTACACTAGAAGCAACGATCCGCTGGTGATAAAGGGAGTGCCACCTCAGCACAACACTGGTGGCTTGTGCTCTTCAAACAAGAAACTGGAGCAGGAAGTTGCATCTTCATCTGAAGAGATCAGCTCTTCAATGGAACAAAATTCCAACGGGATGTACAGGTGAAGTTCTCCAGAGCCCATTGCAACACACAGTTTGGAAAAGGCAGCACCCAACTCTGCAGAACCTTGGTGCCACAGGCCTGCCAAGCGGCATGACACAGAGCAGTCACAAGAGAAGCAGCCCAAGGAGTGAACCGGTGAGCCAGTCAGCAAGCCCTGGGGGCCCTTTACATACGAAGGAAGAAACAGATTCAAACACAAAGCAGCACCCCAGTTATATGGCAGAGATTCAGTCCTGATTGTTTCCCAGGAGGAGGATGGCAGGGCAGGGCAGGGCAAACGGGCAGGGCACCACAGTCATTTGAGCTCTCCGAGGAAGCTCAGGAGCGCTTTGTGAAATTCCTGAGGCTTATCAAGGTAACAGGCATGGCCAGCTCCAGGCAGCACGACCACTCTGGATTTGGGGATCTCCTGCAGGCTCTGAAGAGACTGAGTTCCCAGGCCAGTGTCCCGATCTCCATAGATGATCAAGGTTGGAGTCTAGTAAGGTAAAAGCATTAATACGTTAGAAATATTCCAATGGGTTTGTGCAAGCAAGCATGAAGATCACCTCACCCAAGGGCTGCTGCCAAACAAGTGCCATTCTTTTCAGTGGAGTCTGTGGGAAGTCCACTGAAAGTCCCACTGAAATTGAAACATTTCTGAGTTGCTCTTCCAATGGAAGGAAGCAACTCAAGGTAATATACAACTCAGGGTGATATACATAAATCAGAACGAAGAACATTTAATGCAGCAGAGTTTAGTACACAAAAGGTCTAAGCCGCTTTAAATATATTTTAGCTCGTGGAAAAAAGGATGTATGAGGCTATTCATCTGGGCAAGAAGTTCCAGACTGTAGGATCCACAAATGCGCAGATCCTCGTACTCCCCACTCCTTGTTTAATCCTTAGAGAAGTGTGGAACACAATGCAAAGCCTCAAATAACATCAAGGTATCAAAAGCCACATACAGAAACGATCAGAGCTTGGGAAACCATCACGTTTGGAGTGGTGCTATCCTACATGGCCAATTACATACAAAGCAGCCTTCCCCAGGTTAGTCTCCTCCAGAATATCCAGACTTTAAGTCCTGCTGTTCCTAGACAGCATGGCCAATGTTTGGGAATGCTGGGAGCTGTTGTGCAAAACAACTGGAAAGCACCAGCTTGTGAAAAGCTGCTATACATGATCCATCGTAGGAAAAAGTATACAAGCCCCAGTGAACCTGCGGACTAACCCCATGGCCACCTGTCCACTATTAGCACTGCCGTGATTTTTCCAGCAGTGCTTTTCTTTCAAGGGTTGTAAAGACAGAGAGATTGTTCTGACTGGCATCATCATCATCTCTGCTTCATTTTCTCCAAGTTCTGCTTCTCTTGTCTAGTTCTGCAGTTCAACCTGCATCGGGTTCAGCTCTGTCATGGGACTACATCCCACGGCACTGGTTGCCAAGAAGCAGGGAAGGAAGGTTACCTGGAGACATTTGGGCAGAAGGGAATGCTAGGAACTGAGTATTTCCAGAAAGAATCCAGGACTACATGTTTCCATTACAGTAAAATCATATGAGCAGTAAGATTTACTTTGTACAAGGTCTTTTTGTATAGACCTTAAACAGAAACATAAATATATATGGTTATGTAGACACAGAACAAAGGTGTAGGGATTGTTATCTTGGTATAACTGAGAGAGCTTTCCTGCTCTTGCTGTAAATATTCTTCTCCACAGAAATGCTGTACCCAGAGTTAGGTCACTGAAACAACTTTGCATGCCTTTCCATACCTGGAAAAGTTGCCCTGCTAATTAGGGATTCATCAATGGGAAATCATATGGAACATCAAGAAAACTGTGGGCTTTGAACTGGAGCAGCACAAGGCAGAGACAGAATGAGGTGGTGGGAACACAGCAGCAGCAGCAGCTCCCTGCTGCACTGGACCAAAAGGCCTATCATGTTGGCCATTCGGCCCCACGTCCCAGCACTGGCCAACCAGCTGCCTATGGGAAGCCTGAGTGAAGGATGTGAACGCAACTGCACCTTCCTGAGCATCTTCCCCATTCATTGGTGTTCAGAAGGAAGGAGACTGCAACTGCCCAGGCAGTAGAAATGGAGTGCCTTCAAACTGTTCAAAGTCCCTGAGTGCTAGAAGGCTTGTTCAATTTCCTCTAACTGCTGAGCCTACCAATGCTGCCCACGCAATCCATTTCCCCCCAAAGTCGAAAGCTTGCTTTAAAAAATATAAAAAGCAAAGGTTGACTTTCTTGGAATACCAGATGCCAGATTCTGCAGCTGCTTTGTGTACTGAGAATGTGTTCTGCAGGGGTCCCAATGCAGGCACCAGATTTGCTCTGCCACCCCCTTTCCACCTCTTTGCTGCAATGACAAGCAACATGCACCCTATGATATGCCCATTGCATGAAGTGTAGCTGTACCGTATTGGGCATGGTCCCATTCTGCTGCTCCGTGTCTCCTTACCTTGACCTGCTGATACTGCTGTGCAGTGAAGTCCTTGGTGCCCACTGGTGCAATGGGCACAAAGCCCTTCAGCTGATCCCCACTGGCCAGAAGGAGCGGGATTGCATAGCGCCCACTCATGGATGAGCTTATCAAAACAGGCTTCTGAAGGTTCAGCTCCTTGAAAATTTGCTGCAGGAAGGCAATACGCCCTTGTGCTGCCTCAACAGCACTGGATGGCGGAGAGTCTCCATAGCCTATTGAGAAACATGAGGAAGTGGATTAACTAGATTGCATGGATGCAGGCAAACAATGAGCACACACTGATGGAGAGCCATTAAAGGGATTCCAGCAACACACCTTACCACCGAACCTTATTTCCAAAAGTAAACAAAACTCTGCTGATGTCATTCTGCCCCTTTAGTTAAGCATAGACACACACACATCCTGATTTTTCCACATTCAGGCTCCATCATCAGTGGGTAACCACGGGCCTGGGGTCAAATCTAGCCTACTGGGGTTCTCCAAGTGGCCACATTCCCTTCTCTGGCAAGACCTCCCTTCCTCCAACCACCCACTGTTTGGTGCTTTCCTGGCTTTTGACTAGCTCCCTCACCCTTCTAAAAGGTGGAAATGTGTCTCCTGTGGCTTAGTTACTGCCAAAGAAACTTTAAACTAAAATATGTCACTATTTTTTAAATGTAGCACTCCACCCCTTTTGCTTTTGGTCCCATCTGCTCTTGAAATGCAGTCCTCAAGGGCTTCTCCAAAACTGAACTCAGCCTTCAGACAGGAAGAAGTTCCCCAACCCTGTTCAACCGGGATGGTCTCTCTTGCTGCTCCTCCAGTCAATCGGGTCTTTAGGAGGCTGGCACAACTAGAGCAATGGCCTTTGCCAAGGATGGCAAAGAAAACTGCCTTTCTCCAGTTAGCTATGTTCTCCAGAACCAGTGTAGTGGCTCAGAAAGAATTTCACTCACATCTCCATTTCAGATCTCAGCCCCATCCAGAAGACTCCCTTAAGACCAGGCCCAGCCTTTCAGCCTCAGTATTGTGGGGTAATATGACCGGGCAACCCTGTGGCTTGTTGTCAGGATCACCAAGATCATTTGTTTTACACTCTTAAAAAGAACTGCATGAATGCACTGGGATTTGGGAAAAGAAAGGGCATCAGCACTAAGCAGAAAAATGCTGAGTCACTCTGATAAAGCGGAGACTTGATGCAAAATGCAGAGCAGAGCAGAGCTGAGCTCCCATAAAGCAAAGCCTCCAGGGAGCCGACTGTGCAGGGGTCGGAAGGAAAACGACACGGCTGTGCTGAAAGCCCAGCTTGTCTTCAACCTGCATGTACTAATACGTGCTCCTGGCTTCCTTCTGAGTAGATGCGGCAATCTGGCTGAAACAACATAGCTAGGCACCAGAAATCCTTCACATTCATCAACCAGAGCTTATCAGTAATTAGCAGGGACCTTGAGCTAATAAACTGAACTTTTTTCAGCCTCGTTCTGCCACTTTTCCAAGGCAATAACTATAACAAAGAATCCCAGGGCAGGAACTAAGCCTTGTTCCCCTGGCGAACACGGCACTATAAGGAGGACCATATCTAAGCAGTTGAGCAGTGCTTCTGGTGGGGCTGGCCATGGCCTCTCAAGAACAGGGTCTCTGCAATGAGTCGGCAGGACCAGTGGCAGACAGTACTAACCTGGGGGCCCTCCCATCGAGCCACGAGATTCCAAGGATCTTATTAAACACTTCCACAACTTTCTCTGCAGTGTAAATAATGATTAGCGATTTTAGCGGTGCTTTACTTGTGTTGGCATCATGCTGGGGAGGAGGCAATTAACCGACCCTAACAATTAACTAAGAGAGAGGCAGGAGTGATTCACTGAGCAGGACCAACTTTGCTCACCTTCCCACCCTTAGAAGCTGCCCCCATTACAAACGAGTTATCAGCACACAAGTCCGGCCGACTGTCTGTCAGGCCTCATCAGCACATAAAGTGGATGGTGACAAGTTAAAGTCAACAGAGATACATTCACAGCTTACTCTTACCAGGCAAGTCAATAGCTATTGCACGATATCCATTCTCAGAAAGCAGAGCCAGCGTTCCCAATTTCTCCCATGTCTTGGAAGTGAAGGACTGACCGTGCAGGAAAACCACCGCCAGTCTATGAAGGAAAGCACAGTTTGTCAGGAAAGATTCTAGGATCTTTCCAAATAAACAGCAGTCCATCTTTTTCCCTTAGCACAAAAATGGGTAGGGTGGCACAGGGCGGGATGAAGTTGATTACATGGGTACTCAGGTGCCAGTAAGGCACACTCAGCACAGAACAAAATGACCGTGGGAGAAAGGGAGTTCACGAAATAGCTAGTGAAGGACACGAGGGACCTGGCCTTGGCGTGCCGGCCCAATCAAGCACAAGGGTGAGAGGGGAAAATATGGATTTTATTCTTAAGAACAGCTGAATGATAAGCAAAAGGGCAATTGACCCAGCAGATTGATGGTCCCCTTTTATACCTCTGCCAACCAGGTAGCAGAGGCAGAGGTTCACTGGTTTGAAAATCCTGCCAAGGACGCAGATTGGTTCATTTGTATTTTGGTGGTTTCTACTTTTACCTGGGAGGCTGGGCTACTGGGGAGGTGGGGCTTGGAGCCCCAACCAGGAATTTCTCCATTCCTGCCTAGGTGATTTGGCTCCAGTTTCACTGATATCACAGTATGAGGTAATCATTCCTTTGTTCTAGGGCAGGCAAATGGGGGCAAGCCCCTACACTAGGGATGGGGTAGCATGACAGCTTTTGCCAGATGTTTCCCTCTGGCTACTGTTCTGCAGCAGCTAACCCTGCATCCACTCTGAAGTGGTACAGTAGGAAGCACTTGGGTTATCGGACATTGGAGAAATCTGCAACTCATTCAAATGAATTTCGATTTTTATGAATCTGTGGATTCCACAATGGGGAGGTTTTTTTCCTTGAAGCTCCCCAAAATAAAGAACAAATACAGGCAGTTAATCAACAGGGGTCACAATTGCAGCAGGGAGAGAGAAAACAAGATGGGGTAGCTCTGTAAGGGACACTGGTTGGAGGATGATCAGGAAGGAAGGGGAGAACAACCCTCAGTGAGCCTTGGGCATATTTGCAACATGCATTCCTGGGCCATGAGAACTCACCCACTGAAAAAATCATTTTTAGCAACAGATATTCAAATGCAGCTGGGGCAAAAAAAATAAATCAGGTAGTCAAGAATTCACTTTGAAGAACAAGAAAAACCAGTATGGTTTTAATTTAAAGCCACACTGTTTTAGCAAAGAACATTTAGTGGTCATGGATGATCAGCTATCTAGTTACAGACCACTTGGAAGAACCTCTTTAGCAGTGCAGACTATGTGCATAACGTTCTGCCTTGATGCCATGGTATGATAGGAAGTACAACATACCAGTGTTTGATCTTGGTAGTCTTCAACCCAACCAGAAGCAACTGATTATTATATGAAGTCTCACCAGCACCACAATCCAAACTAATATTGCTCTTCACTCTCGGGATGGCCAAGCTATCATGGCTTTTTATGATTATTTACAATGTCAAAGGCTATTTATCTCCTTATGCTCAAGAATCAAGATAGCAACCCACCTTTCAGTGGAAAGAGCTCCATCTTTCTGAGCCGGAACAGCTTCTCTAAAGAAAACTGAAGGGTTTTGCAGGACTGTCCCTGTCAAAATAGTGATATTGCCAGCACCTTGGCCCTTCTTCATGTCTTCTTCCATGGCTCGTGGCTTGGGGATGTCTACTGAGGATGTAAATCTCTCGTGCTGGATAGCAGGAAGCAACAGGTACAGGACAAAGGTGACGAGAACTCCTAGGACCAACAGCCCCAGCCTGTTGCGGATCAAAGTCATAGTCATCTTTTCTGAAAGAGTTTGAGAGAGAAAGAGAACTAATAGGACCAGAGAGCCTGAGCAGGGGCTGCCCCTGGAAAGCAATCAGGCCAGTGGACTCTCTGCACCAACAGAAACTGCAGGCTTATGCAAGATTACAAGCAGGCATGATGGATGCAAATGAAAAGAGTTTGTGCCCAGGTTAGCCCCTGAATGACACAGGGGCAACTTGTAGGCCCAAACTTCAACTCTCATCAATCCTAGCCAGCACAGCAAACGGTACGGGATCAGAGGGGTAGTAGCCAAAACCTCTGCCCTCCCCTGCTGCATTTCCCTCAGCAACTATCATGGAGTATATTTGGGTGGGGTGGGGGGGTAGTGACACACTGGTGCCATCGGTGCCTTGTTATGAGATAAGAGAAGAACTGTTTCTTCCACAAACCACTTCTACAAAGACTATAGCTAATTTGATACCACAGTGACCTAGTCCTTTTCTTCAGAGGTTTGGTGAACCAGAGACACCTGACCCAGCATGTTCAGCGTCAGCTGCTTTAGCCTTGTCCTCCCATCAGGGACATCCTCCAAGTCTTGATGATACCTTTGGCTTGCTGAAGATGGAATGGGTCACTATCTGGAGGCTTGGACCCAATGACAGATAACCTGTGTGGCTTGGAAACCGTGCTATACTAGACGGCTGCTTCTGCTTCATCCCTACCTCCCACCCCTTTCTTCTATACATTATCAATGCAGCTGTCTTGGGAAACTTAAGCAAGCAGCGCATTGGCATGAATATGGTTAGGCACCTGCCAAGGTCCACTCCTCTATGATGGGTGTGTTGCCGGGGTCTCAAGGTTGCAGTTGCTCTGCTCCTCCCTCTTGCAACCTGCTTGCTTATCTGCCCATTCCCTCTGGCCTAGAGGAGGGATGCCAGAAGACACAGGAGCAGCCGACTCTGCCTGCTCACTCACCTACTAGCTTTCTCCCCAGCATATGAACACACAGTAACAATTAAGAGAAATTCAGCAGCAATGAAAAGGTGGGGCTTATTTAGAGGTGGGGTCACCCAGGGCCCTCCAGAACCTGGCATCAGCACTGGCAGTCACCCATTAATAGGTAGAGGGTTGGCAACTCTTGTTTAGGCACTGGCTACATAAGAGGCCAGGCTTCAGAAAGCATTCTGCTACTATCCCAGTTGATGCATTTTTATGACAATCAAAGGATGCAGCAGAAGGGGCGTATCAGACAGCCATGGAAGGCACAGGAGATTGTTCTGGAAAAATGCGGCAACTCTTCCTCCCTCCTCCTTCCACCCCACCACTCTCATGGCCACACAGAAAGCGCTCCTAGAGAACCACTGCTATATGTGCCTAACATCTTCTGTCCAATTTGGCCTAGCTTTTAACTCTGCCCCCCCACCCCATCCCAATGATGCTCAAAAGAACAATTTTCCTCTGTGTGCCCCACTGTTTGGCTTTATCTTGTTGTCATAACAACATCCGGCTCTGACAAGTCACTTAAAGGCAAGAATTAAAGTGCAGCCTGTATTTTTCTTGGCTGATGCTAGAACCGTTCATGTCAAGTTAAGCATCCCCAAAGTTGTGTCTGTCCTTATTTTTTGCCCAACCCCATCTTTCAAAGTACCTTTTCTTTCAGTTTCTTTGTTACAGATTATTTCAAAAGCTGGAACAAGATTCCATCAGCCCCAGTGGGAACAAAATCACCTACCTTACATTTCCAAATTCCTATCTAAAGGCACCTGGATGCATGACAGCGCAGTCAGAGTCACCTCATAAATACCAGACTCATAGTGTGTATACAACAAAAGGCATTACCAGCTTTTCTCTAAGGAAAGGAATCTCACCTCCAAGGGCACTGGGAAGGCACAGAGACATATCCAAGGGCACAAACTGCTTACAGAGGGAACAGCTAGTGCATTTTGTGCCTACTGGGGGAAAAAATCAGTGCCTAAAGATGTCTTAGGTAAGCACCTAAGCTAGGTGCTAATTTGACATCTGTAGGCATCATGCCTTTGAGCTGACTTTGCATCAACGTAGGTAAAGTTCAGATGCCTTAGAAACCATCACATGGATAGATGTCACTGTTTTTGAAATGATGTGCGTGGTTCTCCCACCATTCTAGAATCAGTAAGGAGAAAGGGAATTGTTTGTATCACAGAGCATTGCTACAAGTCTTCAGGGAAGCACTTATAGTCAGAACTTCCTCAGCAAACAAATCATTGGCTTGTTTTTTGAAATACTGAGCACCCGACTGGAACCTTATTTCCCAGGGAGTTAAATTACCATTATGCTACCAAAGGAGATTTGTGTTCTTCTGCACTGTTGAACCCATAACATTAAAAAGTCTCTAAAAGCATCTGTCTCATAGTGCCTGGTCAGTTACAGTTTGTTTCCTGCGCACTCGCCTTGCACAAAGATTTGTCTTGCCCCAAGCCATTATCTTATGGGAGATACATTTCACTTACTTAGGCAAAAGGTTATGCATACTGTCAGCAACAAAATGGTAGCTTGGCTTGGACTATGTGCTTTAATTTAGGAAGGAGCTTAAATTTCTTGCACTACAAATACTAACCTCAAAAATATGTAGCTATTCCTGGAGCAAAATACATTTTTCTTCTCTTAAATATAACACAATAAAAGGAAGGTTTAGAGAAAGTGGAAAGGCTAGTATAACAAACCCACATAAAAAGGAATCGCATTTGTTGTCCTCTCTACCAGAGATTTAGAAGAGCTAACAGATTGTTCATACTCACAAACTGGGCCCCAAAAGTGAAATGGAAAGCCAAGTAGGCAAACACCTTATTTCTAAAAAGAGCAGGGAAGGACACCAATAAAACTCAGGAAAAAAGAAACTGCCTGTCAGGGCTAGGCAGGTACACACAAACCTTCTGGAGTCCAAGACCAGGTTCAAGAAAATGTGCAAGCTAACTCCCCAACAGCTTTATTCCTTCTGCAATATCCTAAGGATGCCCCATCCCTGGGTTGTTTTATTGTGATGTCCAAAGCCGCCACTCTGGACTGTTGGGGACAACAGCCCAGAGTTTTAACCCATGTTTTAACCAGCAAGCACACTTGCTTGCACCACATTTGCAACAACCCACATTAGCAATGGTGTGAACCAAGGACAGCTAAAGAGGATGACAAATGGTGGAACTGTATGAGAAACCCAAGCAGAGGTGTCACAATTCTCTTGGGCAGTGACAGTCAGTTGGTTCCTCTGGCAGAGATTAGGAGTAGCCTGGCACCAATTTGAATAATTCCCCTTGATTTTATCATCAAGAAGTCTGCTACCATTCACCCCATTACATGCCCATTACAGAGCTATAATGTGGGCAAAGGTTGTTGCCTCTGGAAGGAAAAATGCCTAGCCCCGATTATTCAAACAGGGGCAGGAGAATAAATGCAGTGGAAGTCCATCCACCATGATCTCGCCCAAGAGGCTGACTGGATTCACATGTAACAAGAAGCCACCATGTGGGAATTTCCCTGTGGAGATTATCAGTGTGGTGATGGCCACCATTTGACTATTTAAGCCATGGTAGGGGCAGAACACAGCTTTGCAAACCCAGCAATGTAAACCCAGCAAGAGTGGGTTGTTGGGGTACCCATGGGCTATTTTAGGATTGCAAGTGGCTTGTGAAAGCCCCCAACAACTCACCCTTGCTTGGTTCACGCATAATGACAAGCTACATCATGCCCTGACTATTTAAAATGGCAATGGCCGCCACAATGGCAAGCTCCATGGGGAAATTAGCCACGGAGCTCACTGGGTGACCTCGGGCCAGTCACAAACTCTTAGCCCAATCTACCTCACAGGGTTGTTCTTGTGAAGACTGGGAGGAGAAGGAGAATTATGTAAACCACCTCGAGTCCCTTAAAAGGAAAAAAGGTGGGATATAAATAAATAAAATGTCCCTCCCAGTGGCTTCTCAGCATAAACTTAGTCTCTGCATGCCTTATTCAGTGAAGCAGGGCTGGACAACCTTCCATGATTTCTGTTACTATCTTGAGTAAAGGGCAGAAACTAGTAAGAAGCTTAGGTAGCAAAAGTCATGCTTCACAGCAATACCAAACCACCACCACCACAAGAAAGAACAGTCATAGCTTGCTGTCTTGGACTTCAATTTATGTCTCCAGACATATCCTTATTTCTACTCTCTTTTCAGCACTACCTTGTTGGATTCTATCCAGCAACTGAGCCGCAGTTTTGTTGTCCTTGAAGATGTATGTTCTTCCCTGGTGCACCACCTTCAACTTTGCAGGGTACAGTATGGCAGCCCAAGCTCCTTCCTTCAGGAACTGTCGCCTGAGTGCCATGAAATGCTTCCGCCTGGCATATGTGACTGGGCTGAGGTCAGGGAAGAAGGATATCTTGTGTCCGTTGAACTTCGTTGTCCAGGAAGCCCACGATGCCTTCAGGATTCTCTCCCGATGCCGTAAGTCAGACAGCATTATTAGCACCGTGTTGCCACTACCCTCCTGGGCTCCACTTGCTGGGAGACGGTAAGCACTTTCAATACAAATGGGAACCTCTTTGCCGTTCAAGTCCAAGGTAGCTAACACCAGATTTTCTATGAACGGGATGAGGTTCGTATCTTCAACAGTTGCTGGGATACCAGTGACCCTGAGGTTCCGTGCTCGTGCCTTGTTCTCGAGGTCCTCCAGCCTGCGCTCAGCCACCAGGCGCCCTTCCGCCAGCTCCCTCATCAGAGCAGAGTGTTTGACAACACAGCCTTGGGTGGACACCACCTTTGCTTCCAGAGCTTCCACTTGGTGGCCCATCTCTTCCAGGCGCTTCTCAAGCTTTGCAAGTCTACTTGAGACAGAACTCATGGCTTGCCCTAAAGTATGATGTTCAGATACCATCTGCTCTAACAGTTCCTGTACTGACTCTTCCACAGTCGTGGGAGAAAGGGGCTCACCATGAGCTCTTCCACCATGGTTTGTCAGAAGCATTGTCCTGTCATTTTCTGGATATTTGTGAGCCATTAGCTAATTCCCTCTCAGGAAAGAGGAAGCAGGAATATCTTCAAAAGTAGCAGACAGCACCATTCCTACTGGAAAAAGCTCAGAGCTTCCTACAGCTCTTGCCTGGTTTAAGTGTAATAAGGCACACCCTTGTTTACAAGCCTGTCACTCTTCTTTATGCCTCCCACTGCATACACACCTTGGCTCTTCCCCTCCTCCAACAGCTTCAATGGCCACAAAAGGTGCAGTGGAGTGGAAGGGAGACACTGTTGATGGGGTATGACATTGTGAAAGCTCTTGCTGGGCACTCTGTGCATGCCTAGAGGAGTATGAGTGTGCTGTAACACTCATTGACACATACCCTGCAGCAAGCCTCTCCTTCAGTGTCCACCTGTGTTACAGACTAGATGCCCAGATAGGTAATCTCCTATCTTTCTTCAAAGGCACACACATTAATACTACATCCCTCTATTGTCACTAATCTAAGTTAGAGTGCCAGGTCAAAACTGACTTGGGCTGATGGGGATGACATGGGTTCTTTGCTCTGACTATGGAATCCAGGTGTGTGGGGTAGCAAGCTTTGCCCTCTGGACTCACAGGAAGCCATGTTTTCTTTGGATTTTAAATGGAAGCTGTCCTGCAAAACGGGAGGGAGCAACTTGTAACCCTCCCACTGTTGTTCGGCTGCTGCAACTCCTATCCTTCCTCACCACTATCTATGCTGGTTCAGGCTGATGGGAGTTGCAGTCCAAAAGCATCAGGAGAGTAAACGTTGCCCAGCCTTGTTCTAAAAGCCCGAGACTTAAAACTGGTCACTCTCAAAGCCAATAATAAAGGATGCAGGCGATGCGTAGCCATCGAGCTTTCCTTGCCCTCATGAGACCCAAATCTTCTGGAGGGCAGGAACATTCTCCTGCCCGTTCTTTCCCCTTTCCACCCCACAGCATTACAGTCTAAGCACGGTATATCGGCTTCTGTCTGCCACCCGCTCGCCACCCCTGCCGCGGGAAGGTAGAAACCTGCCTCGGCCAACAACCCCGCACCCCAGCCGTCCATTCACCCTCCCCTCGCCAGCCCATGCGCGAAGGCCTCTTTCAGCTCGCCCTTTGCAAGCAAGCCTGGATTGCCCCGGGAGCGAGACGCTCCTCCCCGCAAAGGGCAGGCCGGCTGGCCGACGGTACCTGCACGCAGCAGCTTCAGGAGCAGCAGCAGCAGCAACAGCTGGGTCCTGCCCCCCCTTCAATCCGGCGGGCGTTGAGCGAGCGGCGTCACACCGAATCAAAGCTCTCTCAGGGCCTACCAGCCCGTTCTCCTCCACGCGTCGCACGCAACCTAGCGCCCGACGTGGGAACTGCGCTTGCCTGCAGGCGGCGACGCAGGCGGCGTGCGCGAAGCCGCTTGCCGGAGGAGCGAGTGCGCATGCGCGCCTATTAAGACTCGAGCGTGCGTTCCTATCCAGTTTTATAGGTTTACAACCACCAACATCCTTCAGTTGTTGGCTTCAGCATGCTGCGAGTTGCAGTTGAACACGCCTGAAGAGCACGGGAAAATGTAATCTCAGCCTTTGCGGGAGCTAGTACAGACTTTGCAGAAGTATTCATTGTCCTCTTTGACTTTTAAAATGTTGTGTTAAAACCTGGAGTGGAAATGGATTAAACAGTCAGTGTTACTGCTTGATGCACACAAGATACTTAACGCTGAAGATGCAAAGTATTCTTATAGCAGTACAAAAGTAAAGACAAACTGACACTCGTGGGTTGCAGAACTATTCCCATCCCCTTTGCTGTGCCATGCCCAAATAAGCTCTGGTGCAACCCACAGCCTCCAGGAGTCACATACTGGGGTTGAATGGAGTTCATCTGCAAGCACTCTCAGTGCCACATGATCTCAGTAAATGCACCAATTTCTGGAAGGCCCCAAAGTTTGTTGGGAAACGTATCTACACAAACAGCATCATAAAGTCCAAGGAGCTGTTGGATTAGAGTTGGGCTATAAAAAGAACAAACAAGGAGGGGGTTTGGACATCACCCAGAGCACTGTTAAAACAATGATTACAAAAAGGAAAGAATATGACTCCTCTCTCTCCTTTATCGAAGGCAAAACACCTCTTTCTCATGCCAGCCAGTGTGATCACCTTGTGATGGCTCTGGCCAGGGTGGGGAGGGACCAGTTTCAACCCTGGTCTTTCCCCCACCTGCTCCTGCTCCTTCCCCATGCTCACTCAGGTTTGGGGAAGGGTGCACGGCAAACACCAACGCTTCCTCCCACTTGGTGTGCCACTTGTCCAGATTAGTGTATCCTGCCTCCCTACTCCATCTCCCCTGCCCCATGTCCCTACAAAGATGGCTTGCAAGCAACCCCACTGTCCTGGCATGAACAGGAGCAGAGCAGGGAAGCCAATGACAGCTACTGAAAGTGCCAGCTGGCTTGTTCTGTAGTTGCCATCCTCACTCGGTTCTCCTCACTGCACCCTGGAATTCCAGTGGGAGAACTGAAAGGAGAGGAGGTACCCTACCACACGCACCAGATTGCCTATCAGGCACAGGGGATCCTCTTGGGAATTTCAGCCATAGTACATGGCTAAAAATCCCAAATACTAGATGGTGCTGTGTCACCAGCTTGTTGTGTTGTCTGAACACAGCCTGAGTCATTAACAAGCTACATGGTTGGATTCAGACAACATCACAAGCCACCCCTGACTTATGAGCCACCATGACTTATCATGTTGTATGAACCCAGTAGGAATGGGTTCACATGATACTTTAAGCCCAGGGTAGCTACTTAGCAATCCTGGCAATAAAGGTGCCTGGAGCCCCCTCCTTCCCCCTCAGTCCTCCCACTGTTGACTTTGTCAGCTGCCATCTGCTTCCCTGTCCCATGTGCCTGCCGGTGGTGGGAGAGGATTGCTCATCTGGAATTCTGCTCCCTTGGCAGCGCCAGGAATGCAGGGAGGGGAATGCAGCATGTGGGTGCTAGAATTGCCTCATTTCCCTCCCACGGCTTCACGGCGCAGGGCTGTGGCTGGACAGTGGGGAGGGAGGGATGAAACAAAGCCCTCCCCTCCCCTCCCCTCCCCTCAGCAAGCTGCACACTAAGCAGAGTCACAGGCTTCCCTCCCTCCAGCATATTGCTACTTGTTGCTGCACAGGAGCCTGCTCTATGCCCTGGCCTAGCATTTCACATCCCTACTGCCTGTGGCTAATTTTGATTACCATGTAAGGCCACGCTAAGCTTCCAGGACTGGATTCTGAGTGATCCAGTGCCCTGTGGCCGCTTCATGCCAGTTGAAGGTGTCAGGGTTGAGAGATGTGAAGTCTGAATAAGCACATGTGACATATGTGTTGAAAAAAATAGAAACTCTTGAGAAAACTAGAAATTTTGCCACATTCAATGCAAAAGAAACAGAACCCATTCACTTCAGTTTCCAGCCTTTTTGTTACAATTGAAGCAGCACACTTTAACCTAACGAGCAGAACTCCCGAGCCCCATTCTGCTGCTCTAGGAAGAGTAAGGGGCAGGGTGGAGGTAGGGATTGTAGCTCAGTGGTAAAATATTCACTTCGTGATATAGAAGGTCCCAGATTCAATTCCTGGGGTCTCTGGTTGAAGAAAAGACTAAAAAGTGGGCAGGGGGAGGGCTGGGGAGTAGCTGATATGAAGGAATATTTATTAATGGAGAGGTATATCAAACAGTCATTAGCCATGATCCTAAAATGGAGCCCCTGTGGCCAGTTACAGTGAATCATAACATTTGTGTGCCAGTGTGGTGAAGCGGTTATGAGCCTGGGAGTGGGACTCAGGCGCTCTGGGTCCCTGCTCAGCCATGGAGCCCACTGGGTGACTTTGGGCCACTCACAGGCTCTCAGCCCAAGCTACCTCACAAAGTTGTTTTTGTGGGGTAAGACTGGGAGCAGCAGGAAGAGAATGATGTAAGCTGCTTTGAGCTCTTTGTAAGAAATAAAGGTAGGCTATAAATCTAATAAATAAATACATTTACTACATAATGAGTGGGGAATGTGGCCTCCTCACCCTGCTTCCTAGAAACTGCTGACTGACTATTGTCGGGAACATCGGACGCTGTCTTGTATTGCTACACGGCCCAGTTGGCCAACCTGGCATCCATTGGTCACTCTAGCCTGGCATTGCCACAACTAACTGGCAGTGGCTTTCAGTGTTTTAGGCAGGGCTGCTGCCTAGGAGGTGCAGGGGCTGAACTGGGGATCTTCTGTGTACAAAGCGGATGCCATACCATTGAGTCGTGGTCCCTGCCAGAATGCCAGCCTAGTGGATCCTTGCTCTGATCTAGCAGGCCTTATGTTCTTAAAACAACAATATAAGCATGGCCCAGGTCAGGGTTGTGAGATAATAAGACCCAACCCATCTGTTGGCTTATGCCACCCTCTGTCAAAGGAAGAATTGGGAACAGATACACAATCTCAGCTCCACTCCAAGCACAGTTCTTCATTTAGGTGCAATCCTATGCAAGGCTGGACAGAAATGACAGAAATTACTCTCAGCATGCTATGGCCAGCCTAGCTTTCTAGGCCTTTCTCTGCCTCAGCTTGCATAGGATTGTACCTTTCAGCTTGTTTCATGTTGCCTGTTGTGTAAGAAGTCTTGTGGAAATTCCATCAACACGCAAATATGAAAGCCCTAACGAAATCACAAGGGCTAAATTTTGAATTTCTTCTTGTGGAAAAACAACCACCACTAATTTCTCTTGACACGCACCAGACATATTAAAGACACATCTGCTACTGCAAACCCTCCCTGTGTGGTTTAGCCTACCATGTTGTGAACCAGTAAATACAAGATATGCTATGCACTGGGTTTTATATTTTTAGTATTTGTGCACATCTTTTTCAAATCTGTAGATGGAAACAGTTTGTAAATACTTGTAAATAAATATCAGGGAGTCACTGATGACATTTACTTTCACTGTTAGACAGGTGTCTGTGCGTGTGTGTGCTTTCTCCTAGTGAAGCCAAGAACAAAATATCTGCAACCAACTGAGTTCTTAGGTTGCAAAAATCAGCTCTACTCACCAAGGGAAAAAAAACAAAATAAGCAGCTCCAAAGGAAACCACTCCCTCTGCCCCCACTGCAATATTAATTAGACACTTTCAGAAACTTCTCTGGAGGGTAATATTTTCTTACTATTGTGCCAGTGCTTGGGAGTTAGTCATCTGGCTTCTGAACAAGACCAAAAAAAACCCCACGTTCACCTCCTAGTGGCAAAAGCTTTAAGCTTGCTCATTTAACAAACACCCATATTCCAGATCGATACTCCGTATTCTATTGTTCAAATTTATGATTAAAAATCCATCGCCAGATATACCTTTATTTAGCTTTATTCTACACAATCCTCTATTTCTGGGCACTGAAGTCAGTCAGATATCACATGAAAATGTTTATGAGCAGTGTCCCAGGCTGCACATATCATCTAAATCATACTTTATTGTCCTTTATCAGGATCAGATTTCAGGGCGGTGTACAATAAAAAGAGTAACATCAAATAACATGAGAGAGGCAGCAAATAAATCTCAGAAACGCCGCAAAAGCTTCACGTACTCGGCGAGTAAGCCTGCACATGCCATTCAGTTCCACTAGGTGTCCCCAGGATCCGTGTGAACTTTTGCCTAGAAATCTAACTTTTCTTGTTTGCTCTCGCTCTGTTTCGTTAGACTTCCTTTATAACTTTTGGACTCCGAAAGCTCGGGGAAGCGGCGGATCTCCCGGAGGTCGGCTTATTTCTCAGAGGTACCTTATTCCTGAAACTTCACGATTTCTACCTTGCAAATGTCGTTTCCCCACGCCTGCTTGCTCCCCTTTGCCGGCTTGCACCCCAAAGAGCGCCATCCTTCCTGCAGAGAGGGTAAATTAGTAAATGCATCTATCAAGCAAGCGTACCAGGCTTGAGTCTTTTAATCCCTCCCGTCCAGCTCAATCCAGCGAAACGCCTTGCATAACAGACTTCAGGAAAGGATCTGGACAAGGCGAGTTAACGGCCCAATCCTACGCGTGTATGGGGTGGGCGGCGGGAGCCCTGTAAGTCACGGCATCTGAGAAATGTCAGGAAATAGTCCTCCGAAATGCATAGGATTGCGTTTTGGAGTTTCTTTTCGTGGAACAAGCTGCTTTTGGTGACTTTTTGCCTTCCAGGTGACTTAGAAAAAGGCACTGGCCTCCATAAAACAAACCCTAGCATTTTCCCCTTTCTCCTCTCCGGCCCTTCCCGCCCCTACTGCCCCGCCCCTTCCTATGGAAGCTGCCAGAGAGCTACATCCGTGGGCGTAATAGGAAGGAACTGCGGCATAAACCTGCTTGGAAGCCACGCCCCCTCCCTGCTCCTCTTCTTCGATGGCTTGCGGGTATTCCAGGGGGAAGGAAAAGCACACTGCGCTTTCTGAATCGTCAAGGGAGCAGAAGTGTAGGGAACGTACATGAACTGGTTGCACAGCAGGGTGGAGAAAAATCAGTGATATGAAGATTTAAAAAAAATGGATTTTTAAAATTTGAATTGGATTTTTTACTTAAATTGGATTTTTTTAAATAAAACGCTTTTTGAGGAAAACTCTAAGATAGTTTTCTATTTAAGATACGTTATAGTCCAAAGGTTATTCATCATGAAATAAGGATTAGTTTTTAATTAGACAGTGTGAGACCATATAATCATGCAACGTTTAACTTAACATCCATTCACAAAGTCATGCTCTTCCAGAGGTTTCTGTAAGATTACTAGGCAGTTTTTCTATCTAGAGATACTTGGTTTTACAGGTCTCAAAGCTGTGAATTTGAGTCTTCAGAGATCATATTCCTCTGCCGCACAGCAATAATGTTATAAAATAAACATTTAAAATTGAGAAAAAGACCTTAATCTCTTTGTTCTTTTGCAAATCTATGTACACAGAATCAGCTCTTTACATCTTAAGTCCTAAGTCAATAATGAATAGAAGATTATTGGGAGTAGAATAGATCTACACAAGAAGCTAAGTGTGAGGAGGGAGAGGGAAGCAATAAAATGAAAATAAAACATTTTGAGCAGAATACTCCACAAGCCTTTGGATCTCTTTTTGTGTATAATCTGAGGTTTATCATATTATTCTTTTCCTGGAGGAGAAAACCTGTAATGGTAGCAGGTCATAAAAAAGACCCAGTTTGGGAATATTTTAATGATGTTCTTCTATCTACAAGTAAGGCAGGCCTGAGTGCAAATTATGTAGAAGACTATGATTTCGATGTAGTCTTACTGACTAGTTATTACATGTGGCACCAGATGTTTTTCCCACCTACTGCCCACACCGCTCACCTCTACCAACTTGGTTCTACAAGTTGTGAGAAAAGCATCATCAGTAAGACTACTTTAAAATAGACATGGGAAGGTTGTGATAAGAGGCGAAGCCCTGCCAGCATTCCCTGCTACAGTGATGTGCATTCTAGCAAATGCTGCCCTGTCTCAGTTGGGCTGCTCCTGGGTCCTTCCCAGGACACATTCCAAATAAAGTTGGAATCTCTTTTAAGTTCTCTTTTAAAGTTGGAATCTCTTTTAAGTTCTCTTTTAAAGTTGGAATCCCTTTTAAGTTCTCTTTTCCTAGTGCTGTGTGGTTAGATCCCATTCTAGGTTTTCTACCACTGAAGCCAGGCTCTCACTTAGTGTTTTGACCCTGAGTGTAGTTACACAGGTGCAAGGCACATGTCTCAGTTTTCAAGTGAGAAGGAGATGTGGCTTGTGCCCCTTCAGAATCCACTAGAGTGGGGACCCAGTGCTTTCCAAGTCTTTGTATTCATTTTGTGTATGTGTGTGTGTTTTAAAGGGACAATGCTGAATTTGATAGATAAGGCATCCAAATCTGATACAAGAAGTGTGCCTTGACATGTGATTTTATATTTGGACATCCCTACTTGAGCACAAAATGTAAAGTTAAGAACTGGCCATAAGAACTAATAGTTTGAACCCACAACATGAAGAAAACCAGCACATTGTCTTTCCTCCACAGTCCTTCCTGTTCAGTTTGGTTTTGCTCCAGTTTCTCCTTTGGTGCGTCTTAGGTTTCCTGGGCCATCCAACTGCACCGTTGTGATGGCGGCTGCGCAACTGACGGAGGGGACCATCACAGTGGGTGGACAGACCCTGTTCTACCGGCAGGGCATGCCTGGACAGCAGCGCCCTCGGCTGTCTGTCTTGCTGCTGCATGGCATTCGCTTTTCATCAGAGACCTGGCTCAACCTGCAGACTTTGTCACAGTTGGCGGACGCGGGATACCGTGCTGTGGCTATTGACCTGCCAGGTATGGAAGCTGCTTCGGGGCTCAGATTGTGAGTGGCTGCTTTGATGGGAAACAAGGCCTTTAGTGCAGGTCTAAATCAAATAGAAGAATATGGCCTTCCTGCAAGGTCAGGAAAATAATTGTCTGCCTCTCAGGTCTCTGTGGGCAGCCTTTTATTTGTAATCCTTATGGGGACAGGAACCTGTCCTTTTGTATTCTGTAAATGCTGGGTGCCATTAGGAACCCGATTTTGGAGGATTCTGAATTGCTAGCAGGGCAGGAAAATCTACAGAAGCAGTATCCTATATATAGCACTACTGGTGGTATAGTGGTTAGAGTATAGGACTGGGGACCTGGAAGATCTGGGTTCTAGTCCCCTCTCAGCCATGGAGCTCACTTTGGGCCACTCACAGACTCTCAGCCCAACCTACCTCACAGGGTTGTTGTTGTGGGGAAAAGATTGAGAGCAGCAGGAGGAGAATGATGTAAATCACTTTGAGTTCTTTGAGAGGAAAAAAAGGCAAAATATAAATATAATAAATAAGATAACTTCTGCGGCACAAGTTTAAGCAACCAGTGTCCTGAAACTTCTAGTGTTTGTTCCCAGTAATCATCTCTCAGTGAACCCTTAATGCCAGCAAAGTATGGAATAAGATACTGATGTTTCTCACATTAGTTTTTAAGCATGGTAGATCATAGAATCATAGTATAGTAGAGTTAGAAGTGGCCATAAAGGCCATCAGGTCCAACCCCCTGCTATTGCAGGACACCAATTTACACCATCCCACCCATATGAAAAGGCAGATTCAGAATAATGTAATGGTCACACAGAGGTGTATTTTGATTCCAGTGCACCCACCTCATTCAGCTCAAACATCATGCAAAAAAATGGTTTGCGCTGGCAAAAGTTAACAGCGGACTTGTTGTCTGAGCTTTCAAAGGTACAACAGGAAATTTGAAGTCTAGAGCTGCTTATCTATTTTTGTTTCCCATTACACTCCCACATTCTGCATGGAGCAGCCTCTTCTTGAGGCCAAGCAACAATTGTAACTATGAGTTGTCAATGTTCAAAGTATTCAGACACAACAGCTGGGTGTAGCACAAGCTTCTTGTCCCCACCTTTAAAGTAATGGCCTTCTCTCCCTGCTTTAATCTCTCCACTCGTATATCTGGATACATCCCTGCCTGTGATCTTTGCTGCTCCAGCTCCCCCATCCTTCCCTTTCTGAAGATCTCCAGCTCCTGGCAAAGACTTCATCCTTTCTCCCAGGGATGCTTCATATGCTTGGATGTGCCCCCAGGATGCCTCTGTGGTGTCTTCTTTTATTTCCTCCAATGCCTCTCAGAATGCACCTGTTTTTTTTCCCAAATCCTTTAAATTTATTTTCAGAAGATACAGTAAGAAAAGAAAGGGGATACAGGAAAGGAAGGTGCCAAGGGTCAATCTAAATATATAATATGTGACGTCAACATTTAAACACATTCATAAAAATGTGAAAATCTCATTGACTATAATCCCTCCAAGACAATTCAATTCTCAGTCAAACAAAATTTGTCCAGTCTATTGCTTTAACTTTAAAGTAGCAATTAATGACATTTATAAAAACTATATTTCCTTTAACAATTAAGTAACTTGCTCATCATAAACTTTCCATCTTTGAGTAAGTTCTTTGACTGGCCTTAATTTTGCCATTATTGCGTAGTCTTGTTTTTCCAGTCCTCAACAGTGGGACAGTCTTCAGCTTTCCACTTTAAAGCAATTCTTACTCTTGCCGCTGTTGTCATGTATTTACAGAACTCTGTCATAATCCTTGAGATAGTCTCTGGTATAGCATATTCTTGGTGTTCATTGGAAAGTCCATTTTAAGTATTTTCTGTAACTGCTTCCAAAATCTTTTAGTTCTATCACCTTGATGAAGATCCGCCCTCTTGGTCCCTTGCCATACTGTAACTTAGCCTAAGCACATTCAACTGAAACAAGAACATATTCTTTCACTCTTTCCCCTTCCTTACCGTTCTTTTCCCTTCTGCTCTAGTTTCCCACATTGAATTTTAGAATGTTTGCCCGTTGGGAGAAGAAGCTTTGTTTTCTGTAAGGTATCATGCAGCCTGATTGCGATACGAATCTGATCCTGCAGTGGAAGCTTCTTGGAGGCTCTCGAGTATCAAGTGCCCCACAGGACTCCTGCTAGCAGGACGGGAGGAGCAGCATCTTCACCTCTCCATCTTCCTGTACAGAGCCTCTGAGGCTGTCCAGAGCCTCATGTTCTTGGGGCCAGGGGCTATGAGCCTGCTTGTTATGGTGGATCCATGGGTCCTGCACCCATTCATCCCTTTCCCCCCTTCTCTGTGGTCACAATGTCGACCTTGGGTAAGGTAGTCACAATGTAGAACTCCCTGTGGAGTCTGGGAGGGGCTTGTGAGGAAGGAGGAGTTTACTCTCCTATCTCCTTTTCTATGTCTGGGGCTCCATTTATCTTTACGGAGAGCACAGCATTATTCTGTCAGTCCTCTGCGTGATGGTCCCCCTTTAGGAGGCAGCAACTGTCATACACCCAACCGTTGACTGAGGTGTGGCATACAGAATTTGTGTTTTCCTCTCTCAGCTTGGAGAGCGTTGCTTTCTAACAGGCCCATCATGTGAAATCCGTTCCTGCCCACCTCCACGCCATTATGAGCAATTATGATGCACTTTATCCAAGGTGTAGGAACGTTCGCAAGTGTTTACAGGAGGCTCCCAGGGGGCTTTCCATCCAAGCACTGCCCAAGCTGAGACCTGTGCAACATTCTCATGGGCCAGTCTAGATTGTACTTGCTGCTGCTGCTTTTTTGGCATTGTTATTTATGTCTGGGACTGAAAAAAGAACCCTGATTCCCTTGTAGGGTTGGAAGAGGAATCCAAGGATTGTGATACTAGTGGACTGCTCGAAGACATGAATTCCCTTGAAACCATTTTGCTTCTCTTTGGTGCTCTCTGATATTCCTTAGGAACAAATGCCCCATAAAATGGGACACTGCTGCCCAGGGGTGGGAACCTCCATCAGACTGAGGTCTGAGATGCATTTCAGAGAAGCTCTTGTGAGCTACAGGGCAGGTGTGACCAAAGGTATAAAGAGTGGGATTACATACAAAACATAGCCGTATAGTATAGCTTAAAGCTCTTACTGCCTGTACTTAAGTCTTAGAGGTGGTATTTCAACTGTTTAGAAGAAAGGGCACAAAAACTGGAAAACCACCAAATAACAGAAGATTGGAGGAGGGGGCATGGTCATTAGAGAGACCCCAGAGGGTCAAAATTGGACACCGGGGGTGGATTTGACCCTGGGCATGACGTTCCCAATAATTTCTGCCTTTGCCTCCCTCTGCAGATTTTACTGAAGTGGCTCATCTGCTAAAATCGTGTAATACATGGGATGTCTGATTTCTTATGGTGCAGGATTTGGCCATTCAAAAGAGGCTTCTGCCCCAGTACCTGTTGGAGAGCTAGCACCTGGCAGTTTCTTGAAGTCTGTCTTCGAGGCCCTCCAGTTTGACCAGGCGGTGGTGATCAGCCCGTCTCTCAGTGGGATGTATTCGCTTCCGTTCTTATTCCAGCACAGTGAGCTGCTCAAGGCCTATATCCCAGTGGCCCCCATCTGCACGGAGAAATTCCCGGTCACGCAATACGCCAGTGTCAAGGTAGGTCTGTCTCGAAAGTGCGGCCTGGATAGGGAAGTGAATTCTGGCCATAATGCTGGGGCAAGCCTTGCTTCAGCTAATGGTAACTTGGAGGATCTGACTGAGAAATGCCTCTGAGTTTGCAGAATGCTGTGAGGAAAATGAAGCAGGCAGCCATCGGACTGTGTTCAGCAAGCACTAGACGCTTTGCAAAAGTTAGGAAGGTTCCTCGGTAGACCGCCAGAGGGCGCTGCCCGGATCCCCATTTCCGAGTACAATCAACTTCTAAAGAGGCCAAACAGCTCTGTATTCAGGCCTGCAGTCAGAAACAGAATTCCTTGGGTTGTTTCTCTTTGCTTTGACCAGCTGTAGTTTCATAAAGGATTTTTAAAATATTGAGAATAGCTTTCTTTTATTGCCACATCACTCTCCTTATTCCAGGCCAGGAAGAATTGAGAACTGCCATGACAAAAAATCTCCCCATCATGTAAACCAGTAAATAAGCATATTTCTAATTCTTTACTCAGAGGAAAACGCAGCTTCAGGAGCAGAGGAAAGTGGACATTTAACTGCTGTAAATCCCTGAGCATTCCCTACCTTCTAAAATACTGGTTTACCATGCCTCTTGTAAAGCAGAACACTTGAACCGACCCCTCTGCAGATTCCTCACTTTTGAATCTTAGCCTCTTCGTAATATTAGTCTCCCCTGCATGCTGTTGCCCTTCAGATGTGACCTGCAAACTTTATTTAGCTGGGATGACACTGTAAAACAATAGCTTTGACAGCAGTGGGAATTCCCTGTACTCCTGCGAATCTGGAATATCACTGCTGTAAAGACTGTGGGGTTCTGCAAACATAGAAGAAGTTTCCATTGTACTGTGACCAAGACAGAATCATTCCTCTGCTGCTAATAATTGGATATATTTATTGAATTCATTTATTTTAATTTTATTTATTATGGTCATAAACCTTTTGGGCCAGCATAACAGATTAAACAATGATTTTCCATTACCCAATTAAAATAATAATTTAAAATGAATAAAAGACAAAAATGCAAGCAACGAATCCCACAAACAGGAACATAATGGTAATACTAATAAAACTTTTGTTGAAATTCTCTACAGTTTAAATGTTCAAAATGTATAGATTTATAGCTAAATAGCATAATATTTTCTTAACCTCAGTATTACCCTGCAGAAACTGGCTACTTGATACATGATCTTAGCATCTTTATCTGATAGAAGAAAAGTTTAGCTTTTTCGGAAAGAATCAGATTTTCCTGAAAGAGCAGAATAATCAGCTCATTACGTGCCTGGTTGTAATACGGACATGAAAAAAACATACATTCCAAGGTCTCAACCTCCTTTGTCTGGCAAGTACAAAGTCTTTCACTAAATGTGATGTTCTTGTACTTGCCTTTGAAAATGGTGGAAGGAAGAGCAAAGCACTGGGTGAGAGTAAAAGCCCTTCTATCCCCTTTTGCTTCCAATGATATCGAGTAGCTTGCCAGTTCTACAGAGTATTTAACATTTACCCTAACTTTTATACAGTGGTACCTTGGCTCATGAACACCTCAGTTCATGACCAAATCGGGTTGCAAACAAAAGTTCCATAAAAATTTTTACTCAGGCTACGAATTCCACATTGGGTGGCAACTGTGATCACAGCCATCTCCCCCCTCCCCGAGTGGGGAGATGGCCACAATCATGCTGGGGGCGGCGGGAAGATGGCCACGATTGCACCTGTCTTTCCTGCAGGAGCGCGCCCGTGATTGCGCCCCTCTTTCCTACAGGAGTGCAACCGCGATCTCGGCCATCCCCCCCCCCCGCCAGTATGATCGTGCCTGCCCCCCCCCCCCCCCAGCACACCCGTGTTTGCGCCTGTCTCTCCCCTCCCCGCAGCACGCCTGCTATCACACCCTCTTCTCCCCTGCTGGGATGACGGGTTCGTGCAGGGATGACGGGCGCAATCTTGGCTGTGCTGGGGGGGTGGGGGAAATGGCCTCAATCTTTGTTGCTCTTTGTCACTTTCCTTCACATTTTTCTGATTAAAAAAAATAGTTATAAAACAGATTAACCTTATTTACATTGAACCTTATGGGGAAATTTAACTTGGCTCACAACCAATTTGGGTCACGACCAGAGTCCTGGAACGGATTAAGTTCATGAGCCAAGGTACCACTGCATTTTGTAAGCCGGCATTATCAGTTTGGCATTTCATATCTTTGAGCTGACTAATTTTTTTGTATGATCTAATTCACAAGAAAGAAGTGGGGTGGGGGTGGGGAGACCAATTCTCTGCAAGTGACTCTGAATGACCTTCAGCCAGTTTGACTGAAGGTTATCACAGACTACCAAGGGGAAAAGACCTTGTGAGTTAAGATGTCCCTTTAGCCACTTATATATAGATAAAATACAGACCCAGGCTGTGAATTTCATGCAGCCTGCCTCCAAGCTTACCCTAGCAATTGACACACACCTAGGGACCTGCAAAATAGTTCTTAGAAACTTAGACTGGACTCTTTCCTGTGGAGGAAAAGATGAGCTGGTTGGTCCCATAAAGGAACCATAAAAGTTGGGGCAATGTCTTTGCCTTATAAAGTTTAAGAGCTGCAAGGACAAAAGAACCCCCCCCCCCACACACACACACACTGGATGGAATTTGGCAATGCCGTTTGCAGATCTTTCTCCTTAGCTTGCAGCATAATTACTGTGCTGGATGGAGTCTGGAGCCCGAGGCCTTCCTCCAAATATTTAAAACTATTGGTTTGTTCAATATGATGGCCATTAATCGACCAAGACTAGATCTTTGGCCTGCAGCCAAAAGCAACTATCTTGGTTTTCTGATGGTTGATTTTAAGGGACTCATTTTCACAGTTTTGGGAGGGCTTCCCCAGAGGCCTCCTCAGCCCAACAGGGGTTATATTTATTGAATTAACAACAGGATAAACACTGAACAACCAAATGTACGACACAAAGACAGCATCCTGCACTCTTCATTTGGCATTAAGTGAGCCAGCTACAATGACCAATGAGATATAAACTTTTTTCATATATTAGTAAAGAGAAACTGAACCCATGTGGATTGCATATGAACGTAAGAGGAACTGTACTGCATTCGAAAGTTTTGGCAACATATGGAAATGTAATGTAATAATAATAATTCAGCTGCAGGCCTAGTTCAGCATTCTCTTTGCATGGTAGCCAACCAGCTACCTGTGGGAAGCAAGATATGAGAGCAACTGCAGCCATGTCTTCCAGCAGCTGGTATGCAGAGGCACGTGATACGGAAGGTGGCACATAGCCATCAGGACTAGTAGCTGCTGATAGCCTTCTCTGCCATGCATTTGGCTGATCTGCTTTCAAAGCCATCCAAACTGGTGGCCATCAAGACATCTCATGGAAATGAATTCCATAGTTTAAGTATGTGGAGTGTGAAGAAGCACTCGCTTCTATCTGTCCTGAATCTCCCACCATTCGAGTTCATGGGATTATGGAAGAGGCAGAAAAGTGCTTTCCTATCCACTTTATGCATGTGTGATTTTATATATTTCGTGTGTGTGTGTGAGAGAGAGAGAGAGGGAGAGGGAGAGATTCTCCTTCCCACCAGGTTGCCCATCTTTTTTTTTTTTTTCATAGTGGACTTCTTCCAGCCCTTTGATAATTTCGGTTGCATTTTTCAAGCACTGTCATGAGCCAGTGCAATGCTCCTGAGCATGTACAGATTATACATGTATTGGCTCTCTCTGAGTGATGGATGACTACACTGTTTCCAATTTCATCACTGCATATGCAAAGTTTTTACTTATTACTGCTCATAGGTAAACAGGGTAACTTCCTATCTGGAGCTAATGTGTGGGGTGGGGTTTGCCGCTGCAGTCCTGTTTCCCCTGCCCTCAATTTTCCTTTCTCTGACTGACTGAATGAAAAAGGCTGCTCTGGTCCTCATTATGGCCTGCAAAATGCAAGGGGTGTCTGTGTGTGTGTGTGTGTGCGTGCGTGCATGCGTGCATGAGAGAAATGGGATTGATAGTCATTGTCTGGACGTGTGCCTAGATTACCCCCAAGAACAGCTTTTCCAGCTGACCGTCTTTCAGTAGATCATGGAGGGAGCTGACAACTACATGGCTTCACTCCAGTGTGGAAAAGGAGCCATGCAATGTGAGAACCCAGAGGAGGAGACATGGTCCCTGAATTTTATGGTATACGTCCATGCAAATGGGTCATGTTTGCAAACAGGAAGATGGCCTCTATCCTTGTCTTTCATGTAAGGTTGTATGCTTTTAACCACACTTTACTTTTCTGTCGCCACTTAGACACCAGCCCTCATTGTATATGGGGACCAAGATACCCAGCTAGGAGAGATGAGCCTGAGCAACTTGAAGAACTTGCCTAATCACAAGGAGATGATGATGAAAGGGGCAGGCCATGCCTGTTACCTTGACAAGCCGGAAGAGTGGCACCGTGGACTGCTAGAGTTCCTGAAGAGCATTGAGTGAAGAGCAGACAGCTCTGTGTCCTCCCAAGCAATCTGTGATCACCGACTTCTCCCGTCTGTCTTCCTGGCCTACACTTGCTGAGTAACAGGGTCTCTTTCTCCAGTTCTCTCAACAACCTGAGAAGGAGCTTTGTTCCTTTTGGGTTGTCCAAACAGGACGGATTAGGAAATGGATGCTCCTGCACCTGGAGCATGGCCCTTGCTTCAGGTTTCATTCATTGCATAGTCAGAGTGACCAGCCCTGATTTCTCCTTCTTTAACCATGAGATGCATTCGGTCACTCTTACTCTCATTGTTCATATGCAGATGTAGGGATCTGATGGATGTATTGGGACCTAGGCTGCAATTCTCCCAGCATGAAGTCCACCTTTCCCTTTTCCTCATTATTCACATATGATGCTGATTTTTTTTCTTTATAATTAAATGAATACAAGACTAAAGAGCTGCCACTACGGGCTGGCTAAGATTATGTAATAAAGCTAGGGGAACATGCAGTTCCCCAACCAAGCAGTCCACAATGACCTGCAGAACAATTTGTACTCTCTACAGTCTCAAGCACTGACCCTTCAGCAATTTGACATTTTATAGGGCTGGTACGAATGACACAACAACCCACCATGGGTTAATTTACCTGCGGATGCTTTGGCATTGTGCTGAAGTAGCCAACGTGGCTTGTCCTGTTGGGTGAAAGAAGTTGGATACCCTTCAAATAATTGTAAAACCATGTTGTTTAACCCTCAACAGTCCCTGCTACCTGGGTTCACACAATACAACAAATCATGGCAGATTGGGTGCCCAGAAACACCCAGCACAGCACAACAGCACTGTGGGCCAATCAACCCGTGGCAGGCTGTTACGTATACAAAAAGGCTGTTTGTTTATGTTCAAACTTGCTTCTTTCTGCTTTGGAGTGGCAAAACTACTCTACAAGGTGGACCCAGAGGCAACCCTACACTCTGTGATGAACACCGATTGGAATGTGACAGCAATAATGCTGATTTCATCCTCTGTAACATTAGATAGCATCCGTTTGTAGGATGTTTCACTGGGGGACTTAGAAAGGAGTACCCAGGAGATTCTCTGGGCTACTCCTTTCTGTGTGCCACCTTCTCCTTTGAAACCAGTCCTGTGACTACACAATCTGAGAAACTCCTGCCATTCCAGGGTAACTGGTAAAATGATGTGGTTTCCAGCAGCATCTTAGATGTTTAATAAATGGTCAGTGGGAAAAGGCAACATCATTTGTCCATAATTAAAGCAATAGAGGAAATATCAAGGCACTCTCCCTTGTCCATTTGGAGAAGGTCAAGGCACTCTGAAAGGAGCTGTTGCTCATCCGCTTTGAGAATGAGGATATTCTGTGGCTGCTCCACATCTGAGCCATTCTCTCATGGGTATTGTGAAAGGGACCACTAGTTAACAAAGACAGTGCGGGCTTCCAAGCACAAGGCTGGAGCAGGAAAAGGAATTAAATCAAATGGAATCAATTGTGTAGGTGCTGCCTAGATTTCAAAGGCGTTCCTGCTGAATGATATACTGTTTGTCAAAACTGATAACGTGATCAAATAAATTGATTTGTACCTCTGCTGCTTTTCGTGACACATTCTCTTCCAAACCAGCGATGATGACATACTTCCACAAACCATCCCTTTGCCACTAGGACTCCTTTTGCTACTGGAATTTGGAGCAGACTAAGAATTGTGGACATGTTGAAAGGAATATCTGTTCCATGTAGAATGGTTTCTCCCATTGAGGTGCAGTGGCTCAGCAGCTTAATTATGCTGGATGTGTCAACCAGGAATGGCCGACACTGGTGGTTCGAGCCCAGCACTGTGATGGGTTGACTTCCCTCGTTCACCTCTAGCTTCTGCCCACCCAGCGGTTTGAAAGCATGTAATATTGGGAGTAGATAAATGGGTACCGCTCCGGTTGGAAAAGCTAGCTGCATTCGTGAGGTCAGGAGCTGGTGCTGGACCTGCTCAGATGCAAGGCAAGATACAATCAGCGGAAGAAGCCCGGATGAGCCAAAGACTGGAACAGAACACCAGCTGGTCTGCATGTGTGTGGAGCTAGTTTACCCCCTGTGGTGCATGGATAAGCGCATGAGCACACACAGAACAAACTAGCAATTGCAGGCAGCCAAACATCTCTGTATTAGTATTGTAGACTCCTGGCAAATTGTTCCATTGCCATACACTAAATGAATAAAATCTCCATTGCCCCCACAGAATAATCAGAAAACAACTTTGAACAGACCCATGTGCCCATGCGCACACATTCAATAAGACCACATTTGGTCTGCCACTCTGTGCTCCTCTTGCATTCCTTTTGTGGAAAGATCCTTGTTGACTGCCTCCCCTGAGCTCGCACATATGCCCAAGGGGGAGAAATGGGGGTGTGCTGGGAGAGGCAAGGGCTTTCATAGGTTCCTGTTGGCATTTGGCCTCCCTCTCCTGGTGCATTATCTAGGCTGCTGCTTAGATAAAAAACAGCCCAAGGTGTGGCAGAGGCCTGTGCGGTGCCTTGCTCAGGATACAGGGTACCTGCGAGCCCCTGAGCTTGGGGGCTGACTTGCATCAAGGGCAGAAGTGATGGACTTGCTTCCAAAACTACCTCCAAAATATACTTTTGTAAAAAAGGCATGTGGGGGCACAGGGTATTTATGATCAAGCAGGGGGTTGGGGAACATATGCCCTTCCAGACTGGCTGTGCTGCTTGGGGCTGATAGGAGCTGGAGTGCAACAAATGGCATCACAGTTTCTCAACCCCAGTGATAGAGGACGTCCAGCAAGACACTCCGGATGGCAGTGCTGTTTCGTTGCTAGATCAACAGAAAAGGTATTTGGAGTAAGCAAGGAGGCAGTAAATAGCAACCAATGGTTTTTCCTTCTCGTTAACAGAATTTTGCAAGGTTTCTCATTTTCCTGGAATCCTTTGACCTTTTGGTAAATGGATGGCACACCTGTATTGAGACTTCATGGTGCATGCCTTTATTTTGGCCCTGAGTCTTTCCAGCGACATGAAACACCCTAGATCACTGGAAGGCAGCAGGGTCCTAGATACACAAGAGACTTAGCCTCTGCGGTTGATGTGCAGGGTGCATCTCTACCTGGAGAGCTACTGCCAGTGAGAGTACACAGTTCTGTGTACTGAAGGATGCTGGGAGTTGTAATCCAACACATCTGGAAAGCACCAGGTTGGGAAAGACGGCCTTGCTCAACATCAGACATCCATCTACCTCAGTTATACCTGCTCTGACCAGCAGTGGCTCCCCAGGGTCTCAGGCAGAGATTGCGACCAGAACCTTAGACAATCCCTTGAGACGCCTGGGGTGGAACCCGCCTTCTGCTGCACAGAGAACATGCGCCCCACTTCTGAACTCTGGACTTCGCGCTTACCCATCTTCTTGTGTCATCTGTGCTCGGACTCTTCTCTCCATCCTCCTTATTCCCAGGATGAGAAGGAGTTAGATAACCTGCACCTCAGGAGGAAAATGCACGCCCAGCCCCAGGAGGAAAAGCACAAACAGATTCCTTCAAATGCCCCAGGGATTACAAAATGAATGGCCAGTGACAGATGGGAGACAGGTTAAATTCAGCTGCACGGTTATGCCAGAGCCACCTGGCCTTGTTCTTTTGTGTTCCTTTTCTACAGATGGAACCCAGACAGATGGAGCCAGCAGTAAGAAGTACGGAGGTGGACTCTAATCATCATGCTGCGCCCTGACTGGCAGAAGGCTGGGATGGCCGTCAAACATCAGACTTGATCCTATTAGGCAGAGGATTTGCTGACAGGGACTTGGCCAGCTTGTGGGTGTCATTCCCACACAGTCAGAAACATCTATCTATATCGGGGATCTAAAGCCCTGGGATTGACGGCACCTCAGGGAAAGGGAGAATATTCTGGCATTTCTGAAATGTTGCGGCATTGAAGCTGGAGCCACCAGAGGGTTAAATGGGGCCCAGGACAGGAGCAATGTTGAGCCGCTCTGCAAAAACCCCATGAATTTGTGTGCAAAGCTAAGAGACCACATGAAAGAATTCTTCCATGCACAGATCACTTGCATGGAATTCAACAGTACTTCGTTTAATAGTTTTGTGATGTCTACTCCTCTCTTTTTAACACGCTCCATCATATTCAGAAATCATTGTTGCACCTATCTATCTATCTATCTATCTATCTATCTATCTATCTATCTTTATACTGACCAATAGGCAAAGCTCTCTGGGCTGTTAACCTCTCATTTTCCATTGTTTTCATGTATAGATTGTACGATAAACACCAGCTCCTTACCATGTGAGACATCAGGCACCCATCCACAGTGATTCCACAGTGGCAAACATTTCTCACCTCCTCAAGCATTGTATTTAGTACTTCATTGGCACATGCCAACGAATGCTCATGCTGACAATGCCAATGTGCTTGTATTCTTTCACCTTTAGATGCCCCTTATCAGTTTCAAGGTGGATTCCAGATCTTGGTTGCATGATACGCTTTGCAGCAGAAAGGGACTGCCCACAGTTAATCACATTGCAGGGTGGAATGTGATCTCTAGAACGGCAAATTTCGCTCTGAGAGCCACAGGGTAATGTCAGGTGGACCTTGCCCCTTTTCCCCTTTATGCCCCTTTTCCTTTTTTGAATGTTTAGCATTTTCAAGAGATTATCAGTAGTTCCTTTCCCAGAAAGAACATTTGCAAGATCTTTCCACTGTATATAATGTTGAAAATGACTATAAGTGGGCTTGTGACTCTTCACTTTGTCACACGGTTGCATCTGCATCCCATGGCAGAATCCGCAATGATAAATGGATCAATTTTTATCCAGATCTGGGGAGAGGCCACACAGAAAGCAGAACAGGCCAGCTGCATCACAGCTCTCAAGCAGGGTTCCATTTTATCCCATATGCTATGAGGTTATCCAGAGGAATGGGCTGAGGAACCATCAATATGTAGATGATGCTCAGCTCTCCCACTCTTTCTCATCAAACCCAGGTGAGGCAAGAGCCATTCCGAATCAGGGTCTCAGCATGCAAGTGGACTGGATGAGGGTCAACCAACTGAGACTCAGTCCAGAAAAGATGGAGGTGCTGTTAGTAGGTGCTTTGTCTGTCCAGTTGGGTGACATTCAATCTGTTCTGGATGGGGTTGCACTCACCCTAAAGGACAAGGTTTATGGTTTGGGGGTGCTCTTGGATCCAGAACTGTCACTTCAGGTATAAGTGGACTCGGTGGCATAGACAACCTTTTATAAGTTTAAGCTGATCTACCAACTGAAATCCTATCTGGACAGACATAGCCTAGCTATAGTAAGTAATCCATGCAGTGGTAACCTCTTGTTTGGATTAGTGCAATGTGCTGTAGGTGGAGCTTTGAACAGGGCAGCAAGATTGTTAATGGGGACTGGTTTCCAAGATCATATTATGTCAGTCCTCTTCCAGCTGCATTGGCTGCCAGTTGAAGTCTGGACCCGATTCAAAGTGCTAGTCTTACCATCCAGCGCCCCAGATGGCTATGGGCCAGGTTATCTGAAGGAACACCTCATTCCTTATGTACCTGCTTAGACCCTGAGGTCATCATCATGGGTCCTTCTCTGGGAGCCCCCTCCAAAGGAAGTCAAGTGGGTGGCTACCAGGAGAAGGCCTTTTTCGATTGTGGCACACAAGCTATAGACCGAGGTCCCCAAAGAGGTGTGCCTGGTGCCTGCTCTGTATTCATTTCAGCACCAGGTGAAAACTCCCCCTCTCTCCATATTTTAACAGTTTCACTTTTAGTTTTAATATCGCTTTTTATCCTGCACCACTCTTATGTCTCTGTGCTGATTCACTTGCACTTGCTGTGGTTTTATTGCCTTATGTTATTTTTGTTGTTGTTTGTGTGTTTTTAATTTTTGTTAACTGCCCAGAGAGCCTTGGCTATTAGGTGACTAATAGAAATGAAACAAACAAAGAAACAAGCAGCCAGAATATTCCTGCTCCACTACAAGCTGCATCACCCATTCCACTTCCAGCCTCTGTATTTCCTTCCACCACCCATCCAAATTGCTCCAGTGCCTGCTTCCCCTTTTCAGCTTGAGCTGCTTCAGCCTCCTGGTCTTTGCTTTTTGATGCCCCAGGCACAGAGATGAACTTTACTTTTTCTTACATGGGGCAAAGGAATTGCAGCCAGGCTGACCTCCTCTCCTAAATGTCTCCTCCGAATTCCAAACTGGCTCTCCTACCAGTGCCTTGAGGCTTGGTCAGTGCCTCATATATCGTCTGGATGTGGCCTGCCTGCGAGTCCTTCAGCATCTCTGCCAGACCTGAGATTTCTGCTGGAGGCCTGGCTTCATATCACTTCTAGACCCTTCTCTGTTGGAACTGCCATGAAAAACCTTGTAACCTTGGTCTGCTTGACCTGGGCAAGCCACAAGCTAATCTTATATCAATCGCCATCCCAACACAGGCAGTTTACAGTACCAGTTGGTTCAGACTGGTATCTGCATAGTTTTACAGTATCCTACAGTTGCAGGCCTAGCTAATGAGCAGGTCTTCCCCTTTCCACTTATCAATGAAACATTTTAGGGAAGGAGCAAAAGAAATTCACAC